TTGAAATGGATATCGGTTTCAAGGTGGTTGCCCGAGATGGAGACAGAGAGGTCCAGGAAGGAGCGAGAGGTATTAGAGATGGTCCAGGTGAACTTAAGGTTGGGGTGGAAGGTGTTGGTGAAATGGATGAACTGTTCGAGCTCCTCGTGGGAGCACGAGGTGGCGCCGATACAGTCATCAATGTAACGGAGGAAGAGGTGGGGTTTATGGCCAGTGTAGGTACGGAAGAGGAATTGTTCCACGTAACCTACAAAGAGGCAGGCATAGCTTGGGCCCATGCGGGTACCCATGGCCACCCCCTTTGTCTGTAGGAAGTGGGAGGAATTGAAAGAGAAGTTGTTGAGGGTGAGGACGAGTTTGGCTAAGCGGATGAGGGTGTCAGTGGAGGGGGACTGGTCGGGCCTGTAGGACAGGAAGAAGGGAAGGGCCTTTAGGCCATCTGTATGGGGAATGCATGTGGATATTGGCACAGTTTTGTGAAGGGGTTTAAAAATGAACTCAGTCAGTCTTTCTGGAATCATAACTTTTAAGCCAGTATGTCCCACTAGGAGTATTAATGGAAGTGTGTTGATACTGTAGGGATCATAGAGTCATACAATCCCTACACTGCGGAAGCAGGCCTTTTGTCCTGTTGAGTCCATCTCAACCATCTGAAGAGCATCCCACCAAGACCCATCACCCCCAACCTTATTTCCTGCAATCCTGCATTTCCCATGACTAATCCACCTAACCTACACATCCCTTGTAGTTGATGACCAGACTGGGGAGTCAGGTGAGTTATTCACTGCAGCATCCCTCATCTGTGACCTGCTATTGTAGCCACTAAATTTATATGGTGAGTCCAGTTGATTTTCTCATCAATGGTAACCCCTAGGATGTTGATAATGGGGAATTCAGTGATGATAATGCTATTGAATATGAAGAAGTGATGGTTAGATTGTCTCTTACTGGATATGTCATTACCTGCATTTGTGTGGCATGAATGTTACTTGCCACTTTTCAGCCCGTTTGGATATTGTCCAGGTTTTGATGCAATCATCAGTAGACATTCCATTTTTGACCAAATGATGGAGGGAAAGTCATTGATGAAGCAGCGGAAGCTTGTTTGGTCTAGGACTCTCCACTGTAGTATGCCTGCTGTGATGTTCTGAAGCTAAGATGACTGACTCCAACGGCCACAACCAATTTTCTACCTTTCAGGTATGACTTCAACCAAGAGTTTTCACCTGATAGCCAATGATTCCTGTTTTTCCAACCCACCTGGATGCCATAATTAGTTAAATGTGGTTTTGAAGTGAAGGGCTGTCACTTACACCTCACCTCTGGAATTCAGCTCTTTTGTCCACGTTTGAACCAAGGCTGTAATGAGGTCAGGAGCTGAGTGGCCCTGGCAGAACTCAAACTGGGCGTCACTGAGCAGGTTATTGCTGAGCAAATGCTGCTTGATAGCACTATTAGTGACACCTTCCATCACTTTACTGATGATCGACAGTAGACCGATGGGGCGGTAATTGGCCGGGTTGGATTTGTCCTGCTTCTTGTGTACAGGCATACCTAGGCAATTTTCCACATTGTTGAGTAGATGCTAGTATCGTAATTGTACTGGAATAGCTTGGCTAGGGGAGTGGCAAGTTCTGGAGCACAAGTTTTCAGTACTATTGCTTGAATGTTGTGAGGGCCCACTGTCTTTGCAGCATCCAGTTCCTCCAACCATTTCTTGATATCACATGGAGTAAATCGAGTGGGCTGAAGATGGACATTGGTGATGCAGGTGACCACTGGCCAAGGCAGAGATGGATTGTCCACTTGGCAATTGTAGCTGCATCCTAATCCTTTGCGCTAATGTGCTGGGCTCTTCCATCATTGAGGATGGGAACATTTGTACAACCTCCTCCTCCACTGAATTGTGAAATTGTCTATCACCATTCAAGACTGGATGTGGCAGGACTTCGAGCTTAGATCCGATCCATTGGAACCAGAGCAGCAGGTCAGCAAGTGGAGGAATTGAGGGAAAGGTACATGTTAGGACCAGTAAGTCAGAAAGGAAGGGCAGGCACAGACAGGTATGCGAACACGATGGTACTAATGGGCTGAAGTGTGTTTATTTCAACGCACGGAGTATTATAGGTAAGGCTGGTGCACTTAAAGCTTGGATCACTACATGGGACTATGATGTTGTCACCATTAGAGACTTAGTTTAAAGAGGGACAGGAGTGGTTACTCAAATTTTCAGGTTTTGTTGTTTTAGATGAGATGAAGAGGAAGGTAAGAGAGGTGGAGTTGCATCACTAATCAGAGAGAATGTCACATCTGCACTCAGAGGCGACATGCTGGAGGGCACATCCACTGAGGCAATACAGGTAGAGCTCAAAAATAAGAAGGGTGCAATCACTCCAATAGGATTAATACAACAGCCACCAAGACATTGAGGAACAAGTATGTAGGAAGATTATGGAAAGATACAACAACAACAACAGGGTTGTCATAGTGATGACTTTAACTTCCCTAATATTGACTGAGCCTCCCTTAGAGCAAGGGACTTAGACTGGGCAGAATTGTTAAGTGCATCCAAGGGGGTTTCTTGAAACAGTATGTACATAGTCTAACTAGAGGAAGGGCCATTCTTGACCTTGTATTGGCTAATGAGTCTGGCCAGGTGACAGGCCTTTCAGTGGGACAGCATTTTGGAAACAGTGATCACAACTCCTTAAATTTTAGGATAGATATGAATAAGTAAAAATGGAAAGGATGGCAAATGATACAAATCAGAAAGAAAAACAGAAGTTTCTGGAAAAGCTCAGCAAGTCTGGCAGCATCCGTGGAAAGAAATCAGAGTTACCATTCGGGTTGAGTGACCCTTCCACAGTTCTGATGATTTATCCTCACAGCTGCTGCCAGACCTGCTGAGCTTTTCCAGTAATTTCTGTTTTTGTAGCTATGAATAAGTCAGGACCTTGCGGGAAGATACTGAATTGGGGGAGGGCAAATAGTGTCACTATTAGGCAGGAGCTAGGGAGTGTTAATTGGGAGGAGCTGTTATCGGGCAATCCACATTTGGCATGTAGGAATTGTTTAAAGACCTTCAGATCAGCACATTCCAGTAGGGAGGAAGGACAAGGATGGCAAGGTAAAGGACCATTGGATGACAAGGGAGATTGAGAATTTAGTTAAAAGGAAAAAAAGAAGCATATGTAAGGTTTAGGAAGCTAAAATCGGACAGGGCCCATGAAGAATACAAAGAAAGCAGGAAAGAAATCAAACAGAGAATGAGAAGAGCAACAAGGGACAATGAAATGACCTTGGCAAGTAGGGTTAAAGAGAACCTCAAGGCATTCTATACTAACATTAAAAACAAGAGGATAACTTGGGAGAAGGTAGGACCACTCAAGGATAAAGGAGGGAACTTGTGCTTGGAGGTAGAGAATGTGGGCAAGATCCTAAATGAGTAGTTTGCATCAGTATTCACCCGGGAGAAGGAAATGGAGAATAGTGAGATTAGTGTGGAGCGTGCTCATTTGCTAGGGAATTTTGAGATCAAGAAAGAAGTGGTTTGAGTTTCTTGAAGAGCATTAAGGTGGACATGTCCCCAGGGCTTGATGGTATGTACCCAGGTAATTGAGAGAGGCAACAGAGGAGGTTTCTGGGGCCTTGACCAAGATCTTTGTCTCCTCGTTAGCCACTGGAGGGGTCCTGGAGGACTAGCAAGTAGCTAATGTTCGTTCAAGAGAAATAGGGATCATCCAAGAAACTATAGACCAGTGAGTCTCACATTGGTGGTTGGGAACTTTTTAGAGAGATTTCTTAGAGATAGGATTTATGTGCATTTCGAAAAGCATAGCCTAATTAGGGACATGACGTGAAGGTGCTGGTATTGCACTGGGGTGGACAGGGTCAGAAGTCACATGACACCAGATTATAGTCCAACAGGTTTATTTGAAAACACAAGCTTTCAGAGCACCACTCCTTCATCTGACATCCAAGTTCACCTGACGAAGACAGGCTAGAAAAACTCAGGGTGTTTTCGCTGCAGCAGTGAAGGCTGAGGACAGACTTGATAGAAATCTATAAAATTATGAGATGTATAGAGTGTGTTGACGGTCAGAATCTATTTCCCAGAGTTGAAATGTTTAATATTAGAGGGCATGCATTTAAGGTGAGGGGGGAATGTTCAAAAGAAATGGGAGGGGCAAGTTTTTTTTTACACATAGAGTGGTAGGACTCTGGAACGCGCTGGTGGGGATGGCGGTGGAGGCAGATACGATAAAGGGCATTTAAGGGACTTTTAGACAAGCACATGAATTTGGAAGGAATGGAGGGATCTGTACCAAGGGCATTGGAAGGGATTGGTTTAATTTCGTGTCATGTTCGTCACAACCTCGTGGGCCGAAGAGCCTGTTCCCGAGCTGTACAGTCGTATGATCTATGGGCATTGTATAGCGATTCCACTCCCCAGAGTGCTTGGTACAGACACCTCTCTCTCCGTGGACATTGAACAGCAGCAACAATCCCCTTACCCCATAACCTCACATTCACTCAAGTCCTAGATCAGCTGACTGAATGTGCCCAATGAGCTGGTTGCAATGGCGGTCCCTGTTTGAACGTTTCCCGCTGACAGCGATCGGTGAGAGCCTGACAGGCCCCGGGACCAGGCCCCCGGGTACCGGTG